AAACTTTTTAACGAGCTCGTTTATTAAATACTTGCTCCGCTCGTGTCAAATAAACTCGTGAGTCAAATGCCGTTTACCGCACTTGTTGCATAATATACTATTACCACACTTGTTGCATAATATACTATTACCATCTAACTCTACTTCAAAGTAGAGTCTTCGAAAATGGCAATTTTTTAAAAATTTGCCCTGTATTGAGTGTTGTTATCTTAAAAGGCTTTATTCCATGTAAAAGTAGTATAATTGCGAAAACACAATCAATTAGTTCATAATAATGACTAGCTCTCGAGAATAATTAATACATGATTTTATAAGTTTGTCAATATATACAAGCATTCCATTATTTTATTATAGACAGAAAATACGGATAATGATGTCTGGTTGACGTACTTTCGTGAAATGTCCTTTAGCCTTTCCTTCATTCAAAACAACCATTTTAAAATTTGTTTATTAAAAACGTAGGAAAAGGGGTATCGTTAACTCGCCACCCGGTAAGTACATGATAAATGACATGGTATGGTATATAAAACTCGGCAAGGGGTTGTTTAACTTCTAATGTAAAATTTCCAATGAATGATACTACATTTCGTGAGTTTTCGATGTCAAATTGCAAAAATTTTTCAAACGCGTGCGTCATTCTCTAACGGCGACATTTTTGGATACTGCAGAATTTGAAAAAATCTTACCTACATCCGGAAACTAGGAAACGAATTTCACCGTGGGACAATTAAAACGACAATAACAAACTATGAGTTACGCTCGAATTATAAAGCAACCAAGAAACATGGTGACGTCATTCGCGAACGGTCGCGGTACACCAACTGATTTCATTCCCCGACGCTTGATAACCTGTGGCGTCGAGTTTTGGTCCGTCGCGACGCAACGCGAAATTCGGCGGTCGTGCAACACTTGGTCTCGATGTGCCGGCATAGCGTCGGGAAACAAATGCAATAATCGTCGATTCCAGTATTTCAGGGTCTTCTTGATACCTATTCCAGCTGTCCAAAATTGAAACTCTACTTTATCCAACTCTGGAACGCTGGATGTATTCCCGACAAACATTTTAGACCACCATAAAAAATAGATTTTGCAAAATGTGAAGCGTTTTACATTTAATGGTTCTGGGCCTAGTCATTTAGCGCTGCAGAATTAAAAAAATGATAATTAATTATAACTTTGATGAGATTCTAAACGTATACAGAGCTCATAAATTGAAACGCAACGTAATTATTGATAAATACATTAATTATAATACACAATAAGTATAAAATTAATAATAATAAGTATAAAATTAATCGGAAAGCTCATAATTATTTAATTCAGGCATGGTTAGTTTGGGTAGTTGGTTAGTTAAGATTAATTATGCGTACAGGGACACCCTCAGCTCTGTCTAACAGATTTGTTGATTTCATGAAACTCACTCATTAAGAGCACCGTTGAATCAGTGATAATAAAATCCAGCAGATTTGTAAAGAGATTGCGCAAATGCCCTACATACCACCGCTTCACTATAAAATACTACAAAGGCGTACGCTAAGCTAAAAATACATTTTTCATTCATCAAGCTTTAAGCTTTCTGCTCCTCTTTCTGCTCCTCTTCACAGTGGTTTTACATGGAATGGAAGCGTGGACGCTAACGGAAACGCTGACCAAAAAATTACAATTTTTGAGATGTGGGCATATCGGTGCATGCTACGCATATGGGGGACCTACAGGATCCGGAACGAGAAAGTTCTTCGCAGGATGAATACTCAAACAGACCTTTTCCATACCATCAAAAAGCAACAATTTGAGTATTTCGGACATGTCATGTACGGAAATTCAAGGAAAAATTAACAGTAAGTCTCATCTTTTAGGGGTTATGGACTTAGCAGGGTTATTTAAACCAGTTACGTTGTGAGAACTATATACGTTCTTGTACAAAAAAAACAGGAAAAAGGCAACAATGATGTCTTTTAGCTGCAGATTGGTTAGCGTTATAATTAAATTATTTATTTTTGTTTTCAGTGGAATCCCTGGTCCACTTTCCGCCGAAATTAAATGAAAACATTTGTTTAGCCCGAGTTGACGTTATTTGATGCATTTCGGAAACTAACAATCGCGTACATCAGCGCAAAATATAGATGAGTTTATCTCATTTTTCGTCAGATATAAAACGAAAAATAAACAATTATTGTTGTAAGTTCAACGAGCAGCGAAAATTTTGAAATCTTATAATTGGAAGGAGATATTTTTGAACTTTTGTTGCATTATATTTTCAGAAAATAAAAATCTAACTGAACTGAAACGCTACTTAAGAGATACTGCTGAGGTATTACTTAGCATCAAGGCTAACCCCAAATTTGTTAAGCTAACCGCTGCATATCCGTGTGACCAAGTTTTGCCTCAATTAATATTCATCAGGGCGTATTCAAAGGGCATCCTAGTTTTAAACTGTAATTAATTTTCAGTGAATCGAACGGCCTGAAAAAATATTTAATATATCACTTAAAATTGATGGCGAGCGAAGATTAATGAGGCTCTTTGCTTTTCGACTTAAAGTGATAGCGATATTAATGTACGCGTAGTTTTAGACACCAACACAATAAGTGGCTTGTTGGTGGCGAGGAATGAATAGCCGATTATTAGCAGACTTAACTTTTTAAAGGAATATTTCGTATCGTTAAATTTAAACGCGGCCACGTGGACACAGTTCGGTACAGCGACACTAAAGCAAGTCGTTTTATCTAGTTTTATCGAGTTGACTTTTGTTTACGCTCAGATGGAGATACTTTAACGATGTTTCAGTTACAGCGCCCAACAAAGTTCACAAGGTGAAATATCTGGAATCGACAAACTCGATTTAAAGTGTCGATTTTATGAGATAGGTGTAGGTCTCTAAAACAAAGACTTTCCAGTGCAACGGTTAGTGTCACCTTGGGCGAATGTCCCTGTGGATTTTAGATTTTTTACAATTTCTGAAAATTGTTTGTGTGTGTGGGGGTGTGTGTCAGATTCGGAGTTTGACGTTTCTACTTTAAAGGTAAATGTTGATATTGATGATTAGTTTTATAATACAGGTGACGGGATCGACAACGCTTGGGAAGTGATGGACATGTCATTTTCATAAAAATTGAGATAGAAATATGCAATCGTGTAAAGAAGTAGTAATTTATAACCTTATGGGAATCGAAAATCGCTAGCTCTTACGAACATATTCGGAAATAAAAGCAATAAATATTTCTATTCTAGCTACTATTTGGCTAAATTAACCAAAACAGGGAAGGGGTACAGACTTTTCTTTTATAAGGGGAAGATAGGGGGTTATACTGACACATTCAAAATTCAGGTCGGCGCTATGTTTCACCATGATGTTTTATTTCTCCTGCTAGAGTCAGCTAGAGTCATCGATCACTATGAGCTTTGCCTATATTTTTCTAAACCAAACCACCGAAACATTATTATTATCGGCGTGTATAATGTATTATGGAAAATTCTCGATAGACGCCACGGTGGTCATCAGTTTGATGTGGCACAAACAGCGCGCAGCAGAGCTGCTGTTTAATAAACGAGTGACACTTTTTCTACTACCGCCACATTTTCATTGGCAAAATCTATTAAAAACATCCGATTGCTCTCAAAGTCAAGACTCACGTTCCAGAAACATTAGAAAAACGATTTAGAACATAAGTATCTAGTGAGGAATCAGGCACTTGGAGTAATTATTCTCTCTGTTTATAATCATTTCTTCGATATACGATTAAAGAACACTGTTTTGTAATGAAACAGTAAAAACAATAATATTAATTTTTTGGTTAGAAATTAATCAACAATTTCTATAAAACCCAATGAATATCCAACTTTGTGGTACCATTATTTAGTGAAAAATATTGGCTTTTCTGAACGATACGTTTGGGCTTTTTAATACTAAATGTATGTCACAATAATTGGCTACTTTAAACGAAAGGTTGTTATAATAATCCAATAAGGTCCCAAATTTAACAATTTTTTGGAGCTTAGTTTCAAAGTGTATTCCTGAACAAAAAGTTTCAACGGGATATTTAAATTTTAGATTTATTTCTAACATTTTATATTTCTTAACCAAACATTTTAAAAAATAGAGCTTATTAAAGACACTGATAAGCTTAGGTTGATCGTGCTGTCTAACTTTAATTCCGCAACTAACAAAAAATATATAACGAACATTTTATATGTTTATCGACTGGGTTTACATCTCTCATATAAATCACGCGTTACTACCTTTTGCGTACAATATGTATATAAGCATATTCATCCTATGAATTATAATCAAAATACATTTATTATAATCCATAAAATTATAATCAAACTTACTTTATTCCCACATAGCACTGATATTTATCATCGTCGATGCCTTTGTTGACTACTTACAAACAATACTTGGAATAACATTTGGACTAAATTGGATCACAGGACTCAAGAATTACAACCAAGGACACTGTTATGTGTAGGGTGTTTGGTGGACGGTTAGCCTAGCTTGATGGAGCATCTACAATATATCATCAAAGATCATACAATGTTCAATGTTCATAAATGCCCACAAAGTATGCGTCATGCACCCTGTATGTGGTTTAGTTAATCGACACTTATGCCGTGATACAAGGTAATGCTTTCCCCCATCTTAACGTTGCGTTAGCTATCAAAGTTTTGGGGGCGCTGCAACTAAATTCTAAACAACGGGTCTTAAATCATTAAACGTTGAAACTCGCAAACATACATATCCTAGTAAACACAATATACGTCCCTTGTTTGCCTCGTAAGCTGACCTTCCAAATTTCGCCGAGTTTAAAGCAACTTTTGTAATTCTGTTTAAGTTTTCGTTCGCAGGCGCGCGCGCGAGCGACGTAATTTTATAAATATGTTAGACTTTGCAGCTCGAAAAGTTTCACTCCATCATAAAATTTTTATGGGTTTTTAAAAGGCGCACATTATTTTGAATTATTGCGAGTGACGCGTCTTGAATATAAAAACTGCCTTAGTAAAGTAAGCATTTATTTCATAGTCGTACAAATGATAAAATATTTTTAAAAAATTATTCCTATATAATATAGCACCAAGTGGCAATATTTTACCTCGTAAAATATATCTCCGTTCAGCTTAGCATATTAGTTATATTATAACTACACTATTAATAATAAAAAAACAGTTATAGTAAAAGCATTAGACGTCCCTCAAACCACACCCCACAGAAAAAGATTGAGCATGGCGCGATAGTCGCACCGCTTCGGTGCCACTAGCGCCCCCTTATGAAAACTGTGAAACTCAAGAGCGAAATTAAGCCTTTCCGACCCAATTCTACAGTCCCCCATAGGTGTTTCGCCAATGGAAAAGTGAAAAATCGGGTAAATGAGCCCGGGCAGAATAAACAAAAAATAATAAAATATTATTTCCGTAATAATCTAATGAGAAATGTTATCACAGCAATTTAGTTACTATGTTAAATTTATATATATACCTAAAAAATTATATTACTTATGGTACTTCTACGAGTAAGAAAGGATTAATTGCATTGGCAGGATATTCCGACGGTATAACTAGGCTTCGGTTGTTCATACCAACATTTGAAATAATCCGCCTTTCGAGAATTTTGTAAGTACACATTTTAATATATATTAGTGGATTCAACAAAAAATGCGGAGGTTGATACAGAGCAGGCTGATTTTTTAACAATTGCTTTAATTTTCAACATGTTTCTGTGATTCCTCATCCTTATATATTCTCGGACTTATCATTTTCTTATGTTAAATTCTTCAATAGTGCCGTTAGTTTCTTTGTTGTTTTTGATGTCTATCTGTGTCTAGTACCTGTGCTTGTTGCCAAAAAAAGGCAACACAACTCTTCCCGTCTGCTAGATTTGACCCAACGGTCCTCTCGAAAATCAGCCTGCTCGCACATACCCCAGCGACAGAAAACTGTACAATTCTTCTAAAAATCACTTAAAGCTTGCTTCGCTCTCGTTGTCGGTAAACCAGTTTTTAGGAGGGCGACCCATAAAACTAGTAGTGGCTTCGCTCCTGTACTCCCTTGTCACTTCTTGGGTGCTCGTACCAGGTCCGTGGGTCATTCTCCTGGATTCCGTTGCTTGCCAAGACGAATTACGCTCCCCTCCGTCCCTAGGGAGCTGTGGTAAGCTATACGGCATGATCCTTGAGCTGCGTTGCGATTTGGGTGTACCTTCCGGAGTGGTAAACTCACTTGCTGTATCGTAACGTACAGAGGGAGCCACCCACCTAATCACCAAAGTCGTATTAAATAAATACCTAATTAAATTCACAAAACTTACCGTTCAGTGAATTCACTAGCTGATCTTGCCAGGCTCGGTTGACTCAACGATCTAGCCAATGATCTGTGAGATGATCTGGTATCGATTTCGGAATCGTCGTAATACCGCCTTTCGGGGTAGTAGCTGGACGTCTCGGATTGGCTGTCCCCAGGATCGGGCCGTCTAAAGTCGACAATCATCTCGCTCATCGATCGGAGATCAGCTTCGCTCCTATAACTGCTCCTCGAAAATCGTCTCGGAATCGATGGGTAGACCATCGGTTCTCTGGTTAAAGTCCTCACGCTACTGCCGCCGTCGGAGTCGTATTCGTATAAGGTTGGCAAACTGCTACGTCGGCTTCTCGTGTCCCAGTCACTCTTCTTCTTGTATCGCTGCTTCGATTTCGGATCTGGGCTTAGAATTCTTATGATCGTATCCCATTTCGGAGGTTCGAATATGTTTTCGTAACGCACGTCGCGTCTAATTCGTTCGAAGTCTTCTCTGACTACGGCTTCGGTAAGCAGAGTTCTCAGAGTCGATTCGGTGGTTATGATCTGTCTCCACTTGATTTTATCGGTCATGGTGAGCTGGGCGTTGAAAGTTTCGGCGCTCTCAATTACTGGACCTTCCTCCTCTTGTTCAAGGGGTTTGAAAACTTTGGTAAGTACGTCCCAATTGGGAACCTCGGGATTTACAACCGGCAGATTGAAGGTAGATAAGTAAGTTTTCGGTGGTGGACTAGGATTCTTGATGGGAATAGTGAACGATGAATAGTAACTCCTTTGGGTTAAGTCACGGGCATTATCGGTTGCAGTAATATCTGTGGTCACGATGTGCCTAGGCGGTGATTGACCAATATTTCCTACCAGCTCGGGTGAATTTAGAGGTAACTTGTCATCCTCGATTTGAGATTGCGGAAGTAAGTCGGCAGTAATTCTTTCTGGTAATGGGGCGGACGAAGCTTCTGAGAATGTCTCCCATTGAGGTGTATCCGGTTTTACAGGAATTGTAAGCGTGGTCGAGTGCCACGGTTGAGTTTCCACCTGCGGGGGCGGTTTGGCCCTGGTATGATATTCTGTAATAAGTCTTTTATGTCTTTCGATGTCTTCGATAGTCTTCTTCTCGGTAATGGTCCTTAGGAATACGTCGTCTACAACATGGGAAGTGATTTCTGGCTTCTTGTGGACTACCGCAATCGGTGGTTCGATCGACACGTGTTCCTCGTCCATTTCCAGGAGGTATTCCTGTTTCGGGACAATCGGCGGAGGCGGAGGAGGCACAGGCGCAACAAATATGTGATGCGAATCGTCTATGGTTTCAGTAATGGAACGTGTCTCGGTCATTTCTGTGTTTAGAGATACAATGGATCTGGCTGGTCCTACGCGTATGGGTTCCATCTCCTGCTGCCTTCTAAGAATTCTGTTGAACGTAGGGGCTGGTTGGATATGTTTTGGAGGCGGATGAAGCTCTGGGACATAAGTAAAATGTGTCCTTTCTGGAGGAGGTGGGGATATAGATCTGATGCTCTCCTCGCGCTGTTCTGGAATTGTAGACAAATCTCTGCCTCTGAGACTCTCGGTATCTGAGAGACTAGGAGGAGATGGTGCTGGGGGTTTCTTAACTTTAACTTGCTCTTTGACAGCAAGAGGTAGTCTAGGTACTGTAGTAGCTACCGCATTCTGCACCTGTTGTTCTTGAGTGTGGCCGTACGTTTCGCTGTAGAAACTACTCGTTTCGTGGATAAATGCGCGGTTCTCGAAACTGCCTGCGGAAGAGACAGGCAATGATCGGGTTTCTTCAACTTCAGAGTGGGATTCCGATGGATAATCGGATGGTAGAGTATCGCTAATGAGGTGTCCCTCGTCGCTTCCGCTACTGCTTCCAGTTATTCCCACCGGTGCGTGCGCACGCGGAATTTTCAGTCCCTCGAACATGGTCAGTGAACCTGGACGAATGTTGGTGTGCAGTCTCAATTTGAAATAGAGAAATTTAATTTACCTAGGGAACTTCCGGAGAGTTTGGTGATTTCAGAGTCACTGCCAAGAGTGGAGAATGGACGTATTACTGTTACCGGTCGCCTTCTGAGACAGTAGTACGAAACTCCCAATCCCAAAAGAAGCAACGAAAGGAACAATATACCACATATGATTAGCAAAATCTGGAAACCTTTTAGCGGTGGTTCTAGAGGCGACGCTGGAATTATCGGCTCTTGGCTAAAAAAAATATGACAGTTGCAATAAGTTCAATATAAAATTTCTGGATTCCTCCTGCGTCGGTTTTTGTTGAGCCGAACTAGCTAACGTTTCGCCAATGATCCTGTTGCCGTCTTCAGAGCTTGTCTGAAACTGGCTCGTATTTTACTCTGTACCTGCTTTTATATTGTTTGATAGGGACGGAGCTAAATGAGGAGCATAAACACCGTCTCGTATGACTGATTCTCATATTTCGTGACTGTGTTCGGCAACTGCTGCTGCGTTTATTTGTCTTAGTCTTAAAGCTCATTCATGTTCTTGGAGTCTAGTTGATATTTTTCGTCCTGTCTCTCCAATGTCTTCCTTGCCGCATATGCATGGAATGCTGTAAACTCCTGGAATCTCAAATAGAATGTGGTCTTTGACGGATCGAAGATGTTAAGAGATTTTTGGACAAGTGGTTTTGAAGTTATATTTCTTTAGAACTTTTGATATGTGGTCAGCGATGATTTGATTATAAGGACAACAGTGGCAAGTGTGGGATTGTATTCGGCTTTATTGCTATTGGAAGGTTGTGGTGAAGTGTATTTTGTGATGGAACGCTTAATATCCTTAATGTGGAAATTATTGAGAAAAGAGCGGAGGTAAAGTGTTTTATTTCTGGGTTCAATGACTCGGGCTCGAGATAGTTTTACGGCTCTGTAAACAAGAGAGTTGATAACCGATAATTTTTGTGCCGGATGGTGATGTGACAATGCATTAAGGGATCGGTCTGTGTGTGTAGCTTTTCTGTAAACACAATGACCCAACGTTAGATCTGATTTTCTATTGATAAGAATATCTAAGAATGTTAAAATGTTAAAATCTACTAGGGATTCCTGACCATGAGGCCAAATAAGAAAGGTATCATCGACGTAGGGTCTCCATAATTTTGTTTTTAGATGTAAGGTGTCGAGAGCTTTCTTCTCAAAGGCTTGAAAGTAATCCCACCCTTGCACTTGTTGTCCTTCTTTATATTCAAAACATCACTGACCACATATCAAAAGTTCTAAATAAATATAACGTCAGAACCAGATTTACCACTCTTCCAAAAATCTCTCAACATCTTCGATCCGTCAAAAACAACATTTCATTTGAAATAACAGGAGTTTACAGCATTCCATGCATATGCGGCAAAGAATACATTGGAGAGAACGGACGAAAAATATCAACTATGCTCGAAGAACATGAAAGAGCCTTAAGACTAAGACCAATAAACTCATCAGCAGTTGCCGAACTCAATCACGAAATGAGACATAATATTTTATATAACATAACATAACTAAAATTCTTGTATGTAATCAATTCTTCTACCAATAAAAAATCCGAGAGTCTATTGAAATCTATAAGCAACCTAACAATTTTAACCGCGACTCAGGTCTCTACCTGTTACCAATATGTGATTCAGTTATCCGAGATGGTTTTATGCTCCTCATCTAGCTCCGCCCCCTCAAACAATATAAAAGCAGGTACAGAGTAAAATACGAGCCAGTTTCAGTCAAGCTCTGAAGAAGCCAACAGGATGATTGGCGAAACGTTGGCCAGTTTGGCTCAACAAAAACCGACGCAGGAGGAATCCAGAAGTTTTATAAAAAGTAATACGGTAGCCTGTGGAAGTTTCTTTAAAAAAAAAGGTTATATATTTAGCTATTTGCGACACATATATTTGACGCTCATTCCCCAAAGTTAAAAAATATACAAAACAACGTGTTGCAATAAATCTCTCTTATGGTTAAAGGAAATGAAACTCTGTCGATACAATGTATTGTCCAATGCACTTAAGGTGGAAGATTTTATGATCGATCCAAAAAGTTATCTAAACTTTATGCCTACTAAAAGTTTATAACCTTCCGCTCTACCTGGTAGTTTATCGCAGGAATATTTGAGACATTAACATGCATTACGGCGTTTGACTGTTACGATAGTTTTGCATCACAATTCGGGGCATAAACTTTTTTCCGTGGCAAACTTACATTGGGAGAGGCAAAGGTGGAACTGGTGCGATGGGTGGCGGGTACCGACAAACAACTGTGATAATTTCATCTCCATCCATTTCCAAACCTGGATGAAACCTCACTACGATGTTGTTTGTGAACACACGTTGGGGATCCTAAAAGAAGAGCGGGTAATATCAATTCTTTGTATAAATTTTGGAACCAAGTCATCTTGTTATGCCTCAACAATTAAAACGATTGATGGTATATTTGTCTTAGTTATTTCTGAGTAACAGTCACAAAATTTCTCAGTTTGATGCAATTTAATTAAATTGGCAATTAAATAAGGTCAGTATAGTTATTTCTAATATTGTATTTCAAGTAACGACTTTAAAATACAAAATCACGCATATGCGTGCACAAAATATTACTTTAAAACGTCCGTATTTCCGGTAGTTTTATCGCGGGTTGAGATTTATCTATCGAAAACAAGAAAGGTATTATATTTCTTATGTATTTTGCCATTAAGTTGGAAACATTTCAAAATAAGTATGTTATTCTATAATACTTCCAGATAGTTAATGATTCGTTACTTTTAATGACTCTATAAAATCCATATTTTTCCTTTAATTATTCTTGCAGAACTTACAATTTTATGTTCAGTTACAAATGTGTATTATAAATACCTCATATAAAGACAAGCTAAGACGTTTTCATAATATGATTTCGTACATACAACTAAAATTTTATATTTTTGCACAAAACGGTTGTGACATAACTTGCATAACTTACAATTTTATGTCCAGTTACAAATGTGTTTTATAAATACCCCAAATAAAGACAATCTAAGACTTCTTCACACTACGATTTCGCAGCCTATAATAATGTTGTATTTTTACCCAAAAGGGCTGGGACATATTTTGCATAACTTACAATCTTATGTTCAGTTACAAATGTGAATTATATATACCCCATATAAAGACAATCTAAGACATTTTAATAATATGATTTAGCAGCCTATATAATTAAAACGTATTTTTACCCACTTACAACTTTATGTTCAGTTACAAATGTTACAAATAAACCATTTAAAGAAAAACTATGAATTTTTCATAATATGATTTTGCAGTCTATATAACTAAAATTTTATATTTTAATATTCCTTTCATAGAATTTTTTTTGTTAAATTTTATGGAAAACAACGTCTATATTCAATATTATTCCATAAAAGAAATAAAATTGGTATCTGCATATATAATTTGTAAATACGTATATAAAACGACCAATCTTCCTCGACAAGTGTTAGTAATTTGAAAGCTTCAAGAAAACAAGACCCTGAAACTTCTTAATCATGCTTGTTTCGCTTCTACAAGGGTTGACATATTACTCCGTCCAACGAAGAAAGGGGCAGCCGATTTTTCAAGGGGTGACGTTTTAAACGAACGCATCCATTTCACTGTTTCACCAGACCAGAATGTCGTTGGAAATTTATTTGCGAAATATGAAAAAGGATATATTGTGGTTTGCAAATCTGGGTAAGTACGGAAGGAAATAGGTGAACGAAAAATAGATAACCACATTAAAAAAAAGAAAAAAAATTAAAAATGTTGTCCGGGTATCGATTTCATACCCAGATATTTTAATGTAGACTGAACTTTAATTCAAATTCAATACAAATAACTGGAAATTGATCAAAACGAATGTTTCGTAATTTGGTTTGTTTTACTGGCTTTACATGAAGAGTAAGGTAAAAAGCAGGTTTCAGGCAAGTCCTTTTTCAAAACGTTCAAAGAAAACTAACACAGATCGTTTCAATCAAAAGCTTGAGAAACATGGGAGGAATTGGTAAGTTTTAACTTTTTTATCACATAGGACATTAAATATTCTATGAAATAGCATTTTGGATGTGGTGTCAAGACGCTACCGTTTACTCTAAGACATCAATTGCTGTTATCCTAGTCATAGGTCTCGAAAATTTTCAAAAATGTATAACAATTCAGTGAATATTTAAAATATTTCTTTACCCTATAATGAGACATTTAAACTGGACTAGAAACGCGAATAAATAACAATAATAATAATAATAATGATAACAGTAACATCCTTATTCGTCACCAATTACAAAGATGAAAAGTATGTTAAGTATGTTATGTTCTGACTCGAACAAACCGAAGTGTAAATATGGTTTCATCTTTTATATCTTTCTTGACAATAGTTGAATCGTTTGAAATTCAAACATATAATCCTTCTGCGGCTAAAAATTGACCAAGCCCGTACGATTCGAGATTGTCGAAATCTGACATTGATAGATGGACCATTATCCCGAACATCATATTTCACAGTGTCTAAGAAACCTCGCGAAAACAACAACATTAAATTTCTCCAAATTTATTCGCCTGTAAAAAACTCGTAAATTTTTGAAGCAGCGCGCTTGATTAATTGACGTTGTTGCAGCCGGGCGAACTCCAAGTTTACTATTGGCTTGTCCCGCTGCAACAATAAATCAAACTTACTTGCTTCGTCCCGCAACCTTTCAGAGGAAGCTCCAACTTGTAACTGAGATCTCCCTTTCCTGCGACCTGACATGCCGAATTCCTGTCGAAATCGGCATATGCGATTCCGTAGAACTTGTCGTTGAATTTTAGCTCGATCTACAGGGAAAAGTAGTTTGTTTATCCGCACTGGATTTTACTATGCCCATAAGTTTAATATGCAAATTTAGTTGCCCCAATTAGTTCTGTAAGTAATATTTTTTGCACTGTTAGTTAGCGAGTTAAACAAACTTCATTTAATCCTTCTTTGAAATAGTCCAAATTGGAGACTTTAAATTTAATTAAATCTGTTGCTGTTTAATACTATTCGATTAAGAAAACTAAATAATGTTTTAGTATCGATTTTATCGCGAATTTAATAATTTAATTTAATTCTCATAACTACGAGGTTAGCGCCAAAATTTACCGGCCTGACATAGATGCAGCTCCAGTATCACGATAAAACTTTGTCTTCTTTTAAATATATATCTTAGTAGGCTGCGAAAAAAAAACTGAAGTCTTGCGTCAAATAGTTTTTTATTTATAGCATTTTAAACAAGATGTGTCCGAAAAAATGTCGCAAATAACGCAAATTGAGTATAGAGCAGTCATAAAGTTTTTGACAAAAGAAGGGTTAGCACCTAAAATTGTTAAAGAAAGGCTGGATGGTGTGTACGGCCAAAGTTCTCCTTCGTATTCTGTAGTGCGGCAGGAGTCCCTTGAAGATGATTCAAGAACTGGTCGACCAGTAGAGGTCATAACGGAAGATATTGTTGCGATCGTAGAAGAAGTGGTATTGAGTAATCGACTTTTAAAGGTCAAGGAAATCTCAGAAACTACTAAGCTTTCTGATACAAGTGTTCGTCGAACCCTGCATAAGGTTAGCGCAAAACCTTTCGGCTATTCAAAAACAACACCATGTAGAGTGTGCGCGGTCTTTGTTGGAACTCTGTGGGTCGGAACCGAAGCCTTTGATAGAAACTATTGTGACCGGAGATGAAACTATGATTCTCTATTATGACCCTCTATCGAAAAAAGAATCAATGGAGTGGCTTCGTAATGGTGAAGCATCTCCAAGAAAATTCAGTCTGGCAGTCAACAAAAGTGATGGCCACGAACTTTTGGGATTGTGAAGGAATTCTTTTGATAGATTTTAAAGAAAAAAAAAAAAGAAACTGACCAGAGGCGTGCGTCTTTTGCACGATAATGCACCTGTCCATACTGCTGGTGTTGCACAAGCTGTCATTTTAGAGTGTGGGTTCCAACAGATAAACAATACTCCCTGTAGTCCAGATATGGCCCCCAGCGACTACTATTTGTTTGGATATTTGAAAAAGGACTTACGTGGACGGCGGTTTAACGACGAAGCTGAGTTAAAAGAGGCTGTTTTAGCTCATTTTGCGAACAAACCAAAAGAAAATATTTTTAAAGGGATTGAATTGTTAATAAAGAGATGTAATACATGTATTGAAATTAAGGGGGATTATATTGAAAAATAACAAAATATTGTTACTCTACTCTGTTTGTTTCCTATTCAGGCCGTGAAATTTTGGAGCTGCCCTCGTAAGTTGGCGAATATGCACAAGCATTGATAAAAACGCATTAATATTTTATCGTAGCTCTTCAAGATAAAATGTCGCTGGTTAATTAAACAACGCAAGATTTAACGGAATAAAACAGTGGAATGTATTAATCAACAGTGACTTATTACTCGAATGTCTCGAATTTAACTCAAATATCCGTTAAATGGTACTAAATCCAATTTCGTAAATAATTTCTCGTCATCTTTTTTAACAATGCTTGTAGAGGGCAGTGAATACATTAAATTTTAATGATACTAGATTTTAAAATTTGATCATGAGAAACGTAATTTTGTAAGTTTCATTCTATGGCTTTGGAATATGTCGCCAAGGTTTATTTTCTATTGAACCAGCATAAGACATCACATCAATCATCACGTGACCTATAGTTTACAGTTATCATGTATCATCACCTGCATAGATCCTTCAGCGCAATTCAGAGCGGCTTTGGTCCTGTTCAGGAATATGATGGGGCTGAGGTCATCTAGCTTGGTAATTTTTCCATCGAGGGTTGCTTCCTGAGGCAGTCCGTCACCCTGGTATTCTATGTTGTTCGCCTGGTCTGCGTAATTTGATTGCGCGTGCGTAGACGCTAGCACGCAGCAAATGGACAGCACAAAAATGCGAGACATTTCTGAAACAAAAGAACGCGCTTAGTAGTCAGTTCCGTCACCTTATCCCTGACAACAATATTGCGGCCGTATCAGGAATAAATTAGTTTTAATATTATGACTATTAAATCAATTTCTCAATAACACTTACATATGAATGTAATTAGCATAATGGCGACTAATACAAGTAGAACGACTACCACGCAAATATGCATCGGATTTAACGAGGGCTATTTAACATACGAACTACTTAATAAAACATTATTATACAGGATCTACTTAGCAGCTTAATATCACGTAACCTTCATTGAAAAAAAAAACATATCGTATTTGGTGGAGCTGGAATAATTATGGCATATGGGCACATTCTTCAGGGTTGAAAGCACGTAAAAACAAGAATTGTTTGGAATCACTTCTGCTTTAAAAGTATTATAATGTTACGTCGTCACCTAACAACTTTTTTAGCGTTTCTTAGCGTTGTATAAACACCAGATGTATTTTTTTTATTTCAAAAATAACATGACGTTTCTGTGCTCCATTGTTTTTTGCCATGTTTCGTCGCCACCGTCAACTAATAGCAAAACATCAACGCCTTTTAGTATTTTTACAATGAAAAAACGTTTAATTGCTAAAATTTCCAAATCTGCTTCCTAAAATGGTCAACAATGAAATAATAATAATAATGAAGAGGAGGCAGTTCAGAAGAACAAAATAAAATATTTTTAGTCTCTGTTTTTCTACATATAGAGAATTGAAATAGAAAGAAAATATTTGAGCAAATAGATAGGGGGTGCCTTTCCACAATATACAAGTAAACATGAAAGGGATATTACGTGTTTTTTTTTTCACTTGTGGGACCCCAATTGCATACAGTGCGACGCACATTGCTGAAACAAAAACACATCGCATCTAGTCAGGCCGCGTTCCACGGCCTGCCGCGGCGGCTATTTAAAAATGTCGCAAGGCATTTTACCTCCAAGGATAACAACTGTTACTATTCAATTCTGTTGTGTTATTTGAAAGTTTTCTATTTTTCGCGTCTACAATAATGAGCTGATGGGACAGAATAAAAAAACAGTTCGTAATGTATGAATGAAATTCTGAACGGTCGATTAACATCCGACACTTTGTTTAAGCTAACTAATAATTAGAGAAATCAGATACTTATTTATTGTATCTAAAGTATAAGTTACAAAAATGTTTTTTATTTACTCTGGTATTTGAAAAATCCGTGGTCCCTTTAATTTGTTTTTTGTTTCTAACTAAGTAAAAACATATTTTTTATTAGTATCTAAAAATGTTAAGTTTGTAGGTTAAATGAATCTTTAAAGTACATATAATTTTGTTTCAGTAGGTCTTTTGGAAATACCAAACGTTAAGTAAAAAAAAGAAATTATATGCAGTGTGCATTTTCGATGAGACTAGAACGTAAGAGCAATAAAATTGAAAAATTTTATTGCTCTTAAAAAAAGTAAGGAGCGTTTATTCAAAACCAGACATGTCAAATTAATTGGGAGAAAACCATAAAAGACTTTTGGGTACACCTGATTTACACTGAAGTAGGGATATTTATTAGCAAATTTAAATAGAATTTGAATTAGAATTAAATAGAATCGATAAAAACTTAAAACTGTATGCTCCAAACCTGTTCGATTCACGTGTTATGTAAAAAGTAAATACGCGCAATTTTAATGAACGCTCCTCATAGTTTTCTATCGTGATTTTCAATAAAAACAAATACTAATTTTAATTTCATAAAACCCAACAATAACCTATGACCTGACTCGGTATATTTATTCTCAAGGAAGAATATTTTCAAGAAATAGGATACCCCGTTGAAGTGTCGAACAAAAAACAACAATAACATAAAGATAAACAAACTTTAAATATCCTTTAGCACCCAGTTAAAAAGGTAGGGAATTTTGGTTTATGGGATTTGGATTGGATAATATGATAAAACTCTTGATATAACATTAAAAAAAAGCTTTTTGATTTTGATTATTATTTTGGTCCTTGTCTGTGTCCGAAAACTAAAGGCTCAACATTACTCAATAATTATATGTTTTTTAGATTTTCTTAAAACTTATAAATGATCCACCCCCAGAGATGAATGTAGACCTATTGAGTCTACTGCTGCGCGTAACAGGTCAAGAACTCAACGAAAAAGTCTGAAACGGACCTGATCTGGAGCAAATGTCATTCAAGGAACAAATGAAATCGACAAGTATCCACTACGTACGCATTGGGAACAATATGCAATTGAAAGAAACTAAGTTGATTGGATAACCAAAGACAGCAAACATCGATATTTTGTATTCGACTCCTTCGAATCACTAAGATTAAAAGTCATTTAATTTTGGCGCAAAATGTCCTTGACCGTCTAATAAAAACGCCAGAATTTAAGACGAAAATGTTATACTTAAATTTCCGAACTCCTATTCTCTCATTTTTCGCTGTATAAGTTAACAGCGTGTCTATGAACACGTTGAGAGCTATCAAAGTTAAAATCAATTAATTTATATGAAATTAATGGTCGAAAGAGAGGTCACCAACATTTTAATATATTAGCACTGAGTTGCTAAAAAAATGAACCAAAATGAAGACAACCAAATTGGCCACGGTCATAAATTCAACTCATAATCTCAAATTTTATGCCCGTGGCCAGGGATTTTATGTTTGAAGAACCAAAATAAACTTCGGCGATTCCAAGAAGTCGTTCGCGGTAATCGCCGCTTGGAAAGCAAAATGATGTCATCTCTTCAGATACTGCAGCAAGATTAGTCGTAGCCGTTTTCAGTTAATTTTTATCTCGTATTCATGGACATGTTTATAAGAATAAATTTGGCACAACCCTAAGGTCGTAACTTCGGATAGACTAAAACAAATTGCGTCATGCCTAATACCCGTAAGGTATTGGGTATTGGGGTAAAGGTGTGTAGGTTTTTTATTACAATTACAACTTTTAGGGAAACAAGACATACATACAACACAAATATAAAACTGACATGTTGAACTTTTCGTCGATAATTGGGATCCATAAGAACACTATTTAAAATAAAAACAAATCAGAATTGAAGCTACCAAGCTCAGACTGTTCTAAAAAAACTATTTATGTATAAATACGTTACTTAGAAATTAAGATCTAGGGTAAATACAGAGGTGCTAGTTTTGTGTTACTTTGCATACGTACAAACTTGAATAATTTATGCAATCGTCTATTGGGGAAATTACCAGAGTCAATAAAGCAGTCATTCAACAGAAATTGATTGTTCAAACCCTTTCTTTTAAGGCTTCGACTGTTTCGTCTTTGCTAAGGATTCATGTCCCAGTCTTCAATTAGCGACTACTAGAACTAGAACTAGTATTATGCAAATAGAACTTTAGCTCTGGCTTGCAGTCAAATATTTTTTATTCTGCTTTAGAATTTTTTAACTAAATATTTGCTCGATTGCAGTAATATTTATTATTATTATTTGTTCCTTAATATTATTTGCTCCGTTTTTCTTCTCATTCGTTTATTTGTATTTGTATTTTATTTTTTTATATATTTGTACCTTACATTTACTGTGAAAGTCTATAGATATAACAAATATGTTTATGTCTATGTCTATGTGGCCAGATTGTCTGGATGGGCCATTTACAATAAGCCACCCATTTCTGGTGATTACGAGCGATTGCTATCTTACAAATATTTTAGGCAGATAACACTACAATAATATAACTCTATTTTTACTTTTCCCATAATACAGACATTTGAAACGAATTTTCATGTATTAACGTGACATATTTCCTAAAAAATTCATATACAGGGTCAAAGAAATCTGGTCGTAATTTATACTTTATGAAATGTATAATAATTACACTGGTTCTAATTGGTTACTGTTTAAAATAAAGTTGATTAATAAATATGAATAACAAATATCCCATAACCAGAACGAAAAATATGCATGTACAGTAAAATTTATGATGTTGTGGGGAAATTTAAAAAAAAATCACAATGACAGTAAGCACATGCTAGATGAAGATAGTCCTCCCTATGAGATTTAAGTTATTGAAAGAATTAACGAACCTTTAGCAGATGTCAAACGATTTTCTTAAAAGCAATAAAAATGAACACTAAAAATGAACTCACAAATACCAAATTGTCGGTTCAAGTATTTTTTTAAGTTTTGGCCAAGGGATAAATAACAGCGAAAACAGTGTACACCGCAATTCCACGGTTACTATATGGAATTCCCATGAAATTCCTTCCTACTGTACACCATAATTCCCGAATTCCCGAATCCTTATGGAATTCTTCCATAATTAGTTGTAAATCCTCTGCGGTTTACCCGACGGGTTTGCATGTATTTCCAAAAACAATTCGCAATATTTGATTTTTGAAAGCGTCGCAGTTTGCCGAATTGCAGACCCTGTAGAGCTTACGGTGAAACACTATTATTAAAAAATCACGCGCATGCAGGGCAATAAATGCCGGTTTTGAAGTCCTAAAAAAATTCAGGCGATGAAGTAAATCGAAATCCGTCGGAAATATTAACGACACACGCCTTTCCAATTCGTTCGGAAAAAACGCCTTAACGAAGTTTATCCGGGATCTTTCTCTCGAAAATATCCGGAAACTAAACGAACTAACAATATACCTTGTCTTCCACAACTTTATGAGAACGACGTTGTCAGTGTTCGTGACCGACCTGACGCCGTTTTAAATTGTTGCCTAATTACCAATTACCATAAGCGCTTAACTTTCTTTTGTTTCGGTTCGTTCTTTTTTCTCGTTTTCAGATAACAATATTTGCTTTTAGTGCCGGAAAAACGCTTCGGGTACGCTAACTGTAAACCTTTAATGGGTTTAGAAAGGAACATTCAACCTTGGGTTCGTATTTGAATTTGTCTTCGATGGTTTTCGACGCATTAACGAGACAGGGGTCTCATTTGCCTCCATAGATAAGGAGTGCCTGTGCCAAATGTATAGTTAGATACATTTTTATGATATTTTGTCAGTGTTTTTACATACGACGTTTCA